AGTAAAATGTAGCAGTGTATGGAAATACGGAAGAATATCCGAGCGTTTTCGAAAACTGACGACGGTCTTTCGCGTTGCGTCGCGTCGGTCGAGTACTACTTTCCCGAGAGTGTAAGAACTCCGGCCCACGTCGGTTTTATCGCGAGTAGGCTAATTTGCATCGCAAGCCACTTACTCACACGTGATTGCGCAAAAAAATCGTGCACCCGCGCGCGCAAATGTATGCAAACGTAGTCGACGCCGTACTCGACACTTCCCCTCCCCGGGAAACAAAGTGCCGACGAATTTGTAACACGCTAATTTGCTCGAGGCCCGCAGGACTCAGACGCGTATTCAAGCAAGTTGTACGAATCGTTCGAATGAGGTAACAAGCTCGAGCAACGAATATTTCGTACCGTTCAAACGAAACCCATTTGACTGACACGCGATGTCTCGAAGTTCAATCGTTCAAAGAGCTCAAATATCAAATGAAAGAAAATAATATTCATCGTAAAGCAGGATCAATCATCTTTTGTCTGTCCCATTTTCAAGTTACGTCGTCTATCCCAAGTCAAAATTTTGATTCCAAATTCTATCGAATGTCAAATAAAGAGAGTCAAATAAAGTACGTGAGGTAAACCAATATGAAATTCTTAATATGAATACACATAATAGCATTAACCGATAAATAAACAATTTTTACTCCTAATTCTTCTATTACTTTTTTATTAGCGTTGAAAATTTATAGGATTTGGTGATCCAATAAAAATGAAAAGAAAGAAAGAAGTTATAAGAGCCAAAATACACTAAGAAAAAAATGTTTGGTATTTGTAACTAGAATTGTAACTAGAATCATATATAGAGAAATTACTATAAATTATGGTCAAGAAAACTATCTCTTTAAATTAAACTTTGCTATAAGGTGATAGAGTAACTTTATATGCTTCTTACTACTATCATTTTCATGTTGGAACAACCAAAAAATATTAGCGCCAGAAATAACTATGATTTTAGTTAAATTAGCCGTTTTTCTCTCAGTATAGTAGCCATGTGTCCAATAATAGTCACTGTACAGCAATAGAGATTTGAATTTCAATGCGATGTTATAACCAATGTTATAACCAAACAAGGCTGAAAACGCGATACAATAACCAATAATAAACAAAACTAAAAAAGAACAATTGGTATATTTTCCGTAGTGGCATTGATGGCATTGACTGGCACATTTGCTCGGATTCAACCGGAGAAATACGTGTCAAATAACGCGATGCCGACGAGAACCCAACTAAATATTTCCGGAGTCGACGAAATATTTTAATCGTTTGATGGAAGTGATATAACTAAAATTCTGATACACATATGCCATTGTATACCTGTCGCTCGCCGGTTGCAGACGCAATGAAAACGCCCGGAAAAATGCACGTTACACAACAAAATAGAATTTTCAATCCATGGAGCATCGATGAACTCCACGGGTTGAAAATCCTATTTTGTTGTGTGACGCGCATTTATTTACACCATGTTCTAAAACCGGTATTCCTTGCAAATTATTTAGCATCTGATTGAGAGCATAATGAATTATCAATTTGCATTTGTAGACCGTAATTCGGTTGTTTGTGTCATTATTTCTTGTTGTGTAACATAAATATAGGTACACAAGGGTCGACAAGTAATCAGAAATTTATGAAGTTATAATTATTTGTCAAATAATGGCATACTGTGAATGCCAATCTAAATTTTGACTCGAGGTACCTCTTCATTCTCAGTAATTTTCGGATATTCATCAAACGTCAATTGAAGCCAGAAACCTCCTACGTAACAAATAATTTGACACCCCTGGAAATATATGACGTGTCACTGCGCACGTCCTGTTTCCTTCTTTTGGATATCCGGCTGCTCTGTTGTGGCACTCCGGATTCTCACTCGTGTTATCGACATTAACACTGACACCCACGTATTAAAAACGTATTAAAACGTATTAAAAACGCGTGTTAATTAACGCGACGTCAACGAGAGCCCGATTGAATATTTCAATAGACGATTAAATATTTTAATCGCCCAACGAACGGAATTACGAACGACACCATCGATACACGTATTCTGCATATCGCGGTATGTGCGTCTCTGATCGGCACGAAATACGATAACTCGGTCGCGGAAGGTCCGCGACGCGCGCTAATAACAAAACAATGGGCGAAAAGGTATCCGTTGTCAATCGTCTACTGTTTGCCTCCCCCCCCCCTCCCTTGCCAGCAACCGAACGATGACAACAATCAATACTTTCAAAACATCCTAAACCTCCAAGTCGGTCAAAGCATGTACTTGTGCGTTGCACACTTCCGGGCGTTTTCATTGTGTCTCGAGCCGGCGAGCAACACGTATATCGTTCATTATGTATCAGAACTTTATTTATATCACTCCTATCAAACGATTAAAATATTTAGTCGAGTTCTCGTCGGCATCACGTTATTTAATACGCGTTTCTCCGGTCGAATCCGAGCAAGTGTTAGTGTCACCAATGCCACTACAAAAGCTGAGAGCCATGTTGGATTGGGAATCAAGACAGAGGACGCGAGCAGCAATGCGTCATATATTTCTAAGGTATGTAAAATCGTTTGTTAGAAAGAATTTTTTTGTTTTTAACGAACATTTTTAACAAACTTATCGAGAATAAAGAGACATCCAAAATTTAAACCAGCGTTATAGACTGTTATCATCTGTAAAATGATTATAGCTTTATTAATATTCGATTATTTGTGTCTCTTAATCTGTATTTATTATATTATTTCACATAAGAAACATTGATTCAAACAAATGCATATGAATCTATAATTAAATCTATTCTCAATCAAAAAATTTAAATAATTTACAACTACGAATATATCGACTTTTATTTTGATTATGATTATGATAATAAAAATTTTTTACTTCTTTTGCACATTTATATATCTTAATTTCTATCAAATTATTTAATATTTGCTTATCTCGTATGATTGACTCGATTGGCTTCAGTTTGGCGTCATTTCAGTTCGTGACAACGCGCGATTGTTTAATAAGAAAAATTAAAAGCAATGAAAATTCAACATAAAAAACAGTTACATGTCTGATGTAAATACTGAAGCTTCAACCTCGGACTACTAACATGAAATTAGTCTCTAAGTCGTGTCTCATTGTTCTAATTTCGCAAACATTCAAATATCGTCGTGGATATATCGCAATGGACTCTTTCGATTTCCCAATTCGATACACGAGAGGAATTTTCCTTATTGCGTGATTATTGACAGGAACGCCTGATCTTAGTCGAGGTACAATGTTATACGATGAGGGAGATAGGTGGAAAATGCGAGAGAGGATTTTCCGCGTAGAAAAGCGAGCCGCGCGCGTCGACGTCGAACGGGTAGAAAGGAAGAGAAGGGCACGCGGACGTTGGGAAGAGGAAGAAAAGCGACGGGTGTGAAGGGAAGTGCGTGAACGGGCTTCTCAGGCGTTGATAGGCAATTTAGTTGATTGCCGACTTCAAACGACCCGAAAAAGCAGCTCGCAGACGCGACGAGATGTGACGCGACGCGACGCGCTGTATGAACCGTTAGGAGGAAACCAAAGGCGCGTGAATCAAGCGGTCGCGAATCTCAGAATTTTTAGAACAATGCAACGTCTCTCTGGCTGGCTTTCGCTTCCCTCTTCCGCAACGGCTACAGGCCGTTTCACACGCCGCGATCGTCCACCCACGTAGGGGAACCCATGGTTGTTGTGTTGACTCTTTCGTTGTTCTTCGTACACCACGAACTGACTGCTTCGTTAGTTTTATGTATACACATCGTCTTGTTTCATATGCGGTATGCGCGACGCGATTATCGAACGTTTTAGATGCACTGCTGTTGGGTAAACTCATGATGAAGGGGTGAATTCTTGGGGGCTAGCGAACTTGAAATTGCACTTTGATTGAAGTACGACGTAATTGTGGTATCGCGGGCGAATCGAACGGTCGGTACACTAACGGTAGTTAGATCCCGGTCTGTGCTCTCGTCTTTAAGTCCGCCTCGGATTTAAGACAAAAAGGAACGAACGGAGCACACCAAATAAATGCTGTAAGACGAGGTGCCAGAGTGACGTTTGAATGGAACCGCAGATCCTTTGTGCCCCGTCTGGAACCCGACACCCGAAAATCGTGCTCAAAATTCGCCTCGAGCCGCGAAACCTTCGATGCTTAAGTCGCAGTAAAACGACATGATGAAAGTAATTTGATAGAAATCGATCGCAGTAGAGATTTTCGCGATGCAACGTGCTAAGAAAATTATACTACCACGAGATCAATTCTATAGAGCAATATTTTAAGATTCTAAGTTATACATTAAAAATACAGCGCTCAAATTGCTCGCACAGATAAATGTTAAAGAAGAAAAAATTAACAAGCCATACATATATGTCACGCCTAAAGGAATAATCATGATTTTTAAGAAATCTCGATATAAAAATATAAAACTTTAAATGATTCAAATATGAATTTTAAAATAAACATATATATATATTGCTCTGTCTTAAATTATCATATATTTATTTGATGTATTTTTCGATATCTCCATACTGTCATCATGCGGGAAATAATAAATCTTATGTGAAACGAATTTATAGCAAAATGAAAAGCCGGCGCAGTTATTTTCTCCACCATCAAATCAATTTATTAGATTGATATAAAAATAGGTATGAAATAGTTCGTGTTTGCGTGTGCTGCAATGGACGACTTCAGCATTTACATTTTAGA